TTATTTATTAAGTGGTAAATTTTAATTAGAGTTAAAGTTGTATGTATATTGCTTTAAGAGTTATTTAGAATATTATAATAACTTTATGAAACAATAATAATGTCATCACAGTCTAGGTTGTTTTAGACTAATAAGTTATTAGTAATAACTAAATAGGTGGTGTAAAATAATAAAACGTTTCATGCTACCGAGTAATTTAATTATTTCAAGGATATTTAAATGATTCAGCTTTTTAAGGCGATACCCAACAATGCGCATTGTGGATATAAAAATATAAAAATTGCAATTACCCAATGGGCCATTTTTCGAAAACAACATTAAATATAGTTAAATGCACATGTGGCATAAGTATATAACAACAATACAATGTGTACCCTTCGCGAACACTTGATGACACATACACAACACTTGTAAGAAATCAGAAGGGTTGCTGGTTGGATAACTATTGTTTATTGTTTCCAGAACAAAATACAGAACACTCATCTAGGAAACCCCACGGCAAAAGAAAGCTACCCCTAGGGTAGATTTTTTTATACTATTTCCCCTCAGTTTTTTTTTTCAAATAAATCTGTAACATTACGGAGATTAATAAATTTAAGTAGTTCATATTTCAATTACAAATAACATGAAGTATTACAGTATCGTTTAGAAAAATAAAAAATATATATAGTTATACTACTTTTTGGAAAAATAATTGAAGATTTTCACTGTTAAAAATAACCCTATATTATAAATATCTAGTGTTATAATTGTATGTTAATTAATTTATAAAATATAATTTGATAACTTTACATGGTTTTATATTTACGTATGTCAATAATTATATGGATGAAAAAAAAAATAAATAGCAAATAGAAACTACATCCGGAAACGTGTTCTTGTGCTCACTGCTCAGATTTACATATTACATAAATAATATTAAAAATTATAAAACAGCTGATACTCGTCAGCAGTCACGCGTTGGTGTAGATTTACAGGGATTGTGCTGAGTATTATCTGCGGACTCTCTTTGTTCGATGGTAATATGAATATGGTATTATATGTTATGCGCATCGCGTCGCAATGTCTAATGTTCAAATCATATGTATTCCACCTGGTAAAGATGATCTTTGTCTACGTACAGGATGGCAGATGCTTCATTCCGTTGTGCCAATGGTTTCTCAAAATAAACCATATTTTTAATTCAACTGTTAATATCGGTGTCAAAGTGTGTAGACATCGAGTTTGTGCGAGTAGCACAAAGGGGACTAAAAATAAATGTTTTCATTTGGTCTTTCGTGTATATACTTATACTAGGTACATAGTGGACGTTCATTATTCAATAACTAAACGCCAATAGTCTTTCAATCAAACTTACAATGAACTTAGTATGGGCAATCGTATATGATAAGTAGTAGGTAAATATAATAGTGTGTTTTTAATGTTAGAGAGGTAAATCTTAATACGCGGCGATCTAACAAAGAGCCGCTATTGTAATAACTAATAAGCATAATATATGTTATAAACTATATTAGTTAAAGTTTTGCTAGCGGAAAACAAAAAATAAAATCTCTGCACAATATTATACAGAAAATAATACTCATTACTTATAACGGCTATAGCTATAATGATTGATAATATTTTCAGTATTATGAGTTCGCTAAGAATATAAAGTTCAACATATTAATTCACGTATAAACGCATAATTAACAATTACGTCAAACTATATGTTTTTTCACCTAAATATTTTAATTTTATTACTATTTTTTTTTTTAATTTGTAATTATTACATATTACATGCTCGATTATACTGATAATTGTATGATGTTTCATTGAAATCTTAATCTACTTATTAATAGAAAAAAATAGTAGTCAAGTATAAAACGCGAATGCAACAATACTGTTAATAAACGCGATTTCACAATTATAAATAGCCTTATCAATAGCCTATATGAATGATAATGTCATATTTTGTTTTCGTTCCAGACAATTTTCAAAAGTTGACTGATGATGTTAGTAGGTACCTACCTATCTACTTCTATGTGTCAATTTTTAGTATACAATTTACAAGTGTGTTTGGAACCAAGATATATAATTTAAAATCATTTCTTCGTAATTTTTAATAATAAATTTAACAGAATGTAAGTATATGTAACTAAATTAAGAGGGGAACCAATTATTTACCTTTTATTAAAATTTGGCGTGGAGCATGAATAATGGCCAAACACAGGTTAACGAATATAATGATACTATAACATAAAATATATTCACCATTTTCTTCATCCCTTGTGTGGACCTAACACCAACATATTTTGTTGTCTCCGCAGACCGTATGGCACACACAGAAGCACATTGTGTTCAAGCAATTTTCATTTTGAGTAGAAATAGCTTTAATAATAGAGTAAATTAAACTGTTATCAAATTTAAATATAAGAAAATTATCCGTTTTTTTTTCATGGAATTATTTTGAAAATATTTTAAATGTTTAAACAAATAAGCCATAAGAATTTAAATTTTGTGTAAAAATCAGATGTTTCTTGATAAATAATTGAGATAGCAATTTGCTTTAATTTTCCTAATTCATATAGATTTATTAAATTTTTACTATAATAATAGAGTATAAAACTACGACAAAACAATATATTTCAAAAGCTTTGAGTAATTGTCCATAATTAGTTTTCATAATAATTTGGTAATTTTTAATAATTTTATTTATTTAAGATCATGCAACGCATTATTGTATTACTACGTGACAGAAATTAGGTCAAAGATAATATACTGTAAGAATAAACAAATAAATAAATTTACAAATAATAATATGAAATAGTCTCTTAATTACACACTTCTATAATAAAGTTACATTAAATTGTTTATTAGAACTCCAAGTTATAATGCTATTAAGAGTTAAGACGTTAAACAACATCAAATTCGTTATATCTGTTAGGGGTACTAGTGTCAAGATTTGGTAAAATATTTTAATATGAATTAATAGATGCACAAAGTTTTTTAATTTTTTGAACAACAGTATATAGTGTAGTTGATTATAAGTAAAGCCAAAACATCAAAATAACTTAAGGTTATTTTTCGTTTATCTTATTTTGTCGAAATTTAAACTTGTAATGTTTAATGTAATTTCAATGTTTTAAATTTAATAAAAAAGTATTTTATTTTAAATTTAAAGCTTTTTAACTAAGTATTTAAACATTTTTATCGAATTTCGCAGAGGAAAAATACGAATAACTTAATCTTACGTTAAATACTTGGAAAATTGCATTGTGTACCTAAAGAAAATGATAATTTAAGAAATAGTGTGATATTTTAGTATAAGATTAATATTTTTTGAATTATAATCAATGAACCAAATAATAAAAATCATTTGAGGAAAATTTGTTATTATTTAAGTCTATAATTTATTAGTAGGTATATTTGAAAATCTAATATCATCAAAAATTTGAACTTAAAAGTTTATAAAAAGTGTATGTGACATAAATAATAGTTTAGTTAGTGAATCTTATAATAACGAATTTTTAATCTACGATATTAATTAATCTCGTATGGTGTACAAGTCTAAACAAAAAAATTATTATAACCATTTAGTGATATGTAATTTTTATAAGCTGTGGTCATATATGCGTCATACCTATCTTATGATATTATGTATTTTGTATGTTCACAGATATATAAATATCGTAATTAAATGAGTCTGCATACTCTATACTGTTTTATGAGTTAATACATTTTAAATATAACCGTTTGAAGAAAAATCGTTATTTTACATGTGAATATCCAATTTTATCTAAATTTTAATTTTAAATACTTATGAAAATGTATTTGATTTGAAAAGTTGACATATTTAATCAGAATTCTTTTTAGTCATTGTATTTTAAAAAATGCATTAACATAAAAATTCAAGTTCTAGATTATGTTTTTAAACTTTATATGAACAGAACGTAATGGGAAGTGACATAGGGATATTCCAAAAATCGTCTATTACTCCGTTTATCTAAGTGTTAAATACTTATGATTAATTGATTATTTGTTTGAATTAAATTCATAGTATTTTATAAAACATCGATACTTTTTAGAAACGAGATTATTAATTGTTAAACGAATCACATTGTATATGCGTAATTATTGAATAATATATGCAGACGCCTTGAAATGAGAAATAAGAAATTTAGAGCGAAACCGCAAAAACTTAAAATTAAATCACCTATTAAAAATATATAGAGAATAATATTTTTAAGGGTTTGACGTATCGGCTTTATATTTTTTTATCATTTAACTCTGTATTCAACATTAAAAATATTTTTTATTGTTATTATTATTTTTTTTTTATTATAAACGACTATTTAATTTTCTTGAGATATTTAGATAAATCGATAAGTTATACCTACCCTCAAAAATATTATTCTCTTTAATTTTTATAATGAGTATTTTTATTTTAAGACTATTCAAAAACATAAAAAAAAATTATTTTGCGTAAACGCTTTTTGTATATGTTGCGCGTAGGCAAGAAATAAAACAGTGCGCTGATATCCTTATAATGATATCTTATGTTATACTTATACGTTTTTGTTTTTTTATAAATATAAAAAAATTATACAATAGTATACTTATTATTTATGTAATGTCAAGATAGTTTTATTTAAAGTGACAATTATTATCACTTGTCAAGAATTGATTTTATACATATTTATTTGCTTTTCACATATTTGATACTACCTACCTACAAATTTTGTATATATTGAACATGTTGGTTTAGTATATTAAAATAGATAATTTAAAAAATAGCTTATAATATAAAAATAATAAATGTACAAAATATTTACTGTTGTAGATGGGGTTTGAATTGCAATGTATAGGCGCAAGTCATACAATTTAAAATTATTCAAAATAAATACATAATATACTACAATATTATAATATTATAATATTATAATATTATTATTAATAATATTATAATATTCTCAAGGCTCAAATATTCTAATAACTGCGCTCTACAATTTATAGTAACTTACCGATAAGAAACGATGGTTGTCTTTCATCATCTACTAACGAAGCAAGGATTAGCATCAGAGGATGGTTATGGGGCACTCTGTCTAAATCTGTAGTCGAATCGTCATACACCACAATTTCTCTGTAACCACGTCTCCTAAGAGCGTCTTTGGCATCCCTGGAAGACGCCAACTCCACCAAAGTTGCTTTTCCCGTTTGCAATCTCCGTCTGTTAATCCGGTCAGCGACGTTTACGTTCACAGCACCTCTGACATGGCTGACGTTGTAGCACACGAAAGACCGACAGTCAATAGCTAAGACCGCCGGGCCAAAAAGTTCCATTTTTTGTCTAAAATAATCGCTGCTCATTCGTTTTACCTGTATTAAAATAATACGATAATTAACTCCGATATAAGTAATAATAATTACGATAATAAATAATTGTAATAATACAACATGTAATAGTAAATAAAAAACGAATGACGTGTTATTTTGCTGATGTATAACATTACAGCAGAAAATAGATCTAACCCGGCTAGATATATTCAACCTTTCGACATTATTACTGTGCGATAACACAATACAAACGTTACATTATGATATAGGTGCCCTAAGGTATCAAGTTTTATATATTAAGTCATTCCTCGGTGAATCAGTTTATAGCTGCGGATATAGATCAACGATTAGTCGGCACGAATAAATATTTGATAAAATAACATATAATGGGTTTATATTATGCCAACACGATTACTATATATTACGTACAATATTGCACTTAAAAACGCATACCTTGTTAAGTATTAGAGCACCGCTTAAATTTGTACCATCAGAATTGGGGCTAGCGGGTAAACTAACCGGTAGACTAGGTATCGATTCCAATCGAAATCGTTTTGAGGTCGTAGGCGTAGTGACAGTGATCGACGGTGTTGCTGGGCCCGGCTCACTGATACTCCTGTTCAGGCTGAGCCTAAGCCCAGCTCGGGATCTACCGCCGACTCCACCCTCGTAACAGACCGCCGACATGGAGCAGCGTTGTTGGTGAGCTTTCAAACTGCAAACTGATTCACAACAATTCTCATAAATATTATGGTTTATTGAGTATTGCAAGCAGCCTTAAACATAATATTCAAAAACAATATTATACGCTTGTATAATATTTGTACCTATTTACTCACACGGGCGATTACAGTAATACCATAAAACATGAATTATTATTTTGATAATTTGTTGAATGTATTTAGAAGAAATCATTCAAATTGTTGTTCAATATAATATGACGTATTATTATGTATCCATGCATATTTACGATGCTTATTTATTTACATCAAAGAAAATTATAAATTGTAATTACGTCAGCCATGAGGCATAAATTAGAATAAAATAACCACATAACATGCACTCTTAGTATTAATGTTTTAAACGATGTCATTAAAAATCAATGCTACTTAAATTTCAAATAACATCTATAAAATTAATTTTAAATAAATAATTATTATTTAACATAATTATATACAATAAAAATTAATTAATTGACGCATTTAATGGAATAGTTCACAGGAACCAACTTTATTTTATATTTTCCTGATAATAATGTTGGTGTAAATACACAAATAAATGGAAAAAAATTAACATGCAATCAATTATGTTAATAGAATATTTTTGATGAATAAGAGAGTAGTAGTTTGTAACTTAGTTTTAAAATATAAAGTTTATTCTTGATATACATAAAAAAATGTGTGGATGTAAATAATATTTTAAATTAAAAATGACTAATAATTTTAATATTGGCTGTTAAAAATTATGGCTGAACCACAGAAAATAAAATATTATATTTATATAAATGATTTATTGATTTGTATTTAAAAATTATTATAATTTTAGAATAAACTTGATTAATTAACAAACATTTTAATAATTAATTTTAAATTAAAGATATTTGTATATTTGATTAAAGGTTAAGACTGCGTAAGTAGGAACTTGCTTAAATTACTTGTGTATTTAGTAATTATTAACTGTAACGTGTGGTTGTATTTTATTTTATTTTTGTAAAATAAACATATTTACAAAACTAAGACGGAATAATTTTTATTACGTTTCAGATGATAACGACCGATGAAGCGGTAAACTATCTTTAAAACAGTTAATATTTTATTTCTATACACAAACATAAGTACCTAGTAGTGGTATAAGTACTTTTACTTGAATATAGGTAACTTAAATTTGGTGATATAGGTAATTATATATAAAGACACTATAATAAATTGTATATATTATATACTTTTTCAAGATATTACATAATTCTAAACTTTTTATCTGCTTATTAATTTTTTTATTTTTAAACAAAAAATATTAATAAATAGATTTATTATCAAAAACTTTTTACACTTTGAAACTTCAAAACAGTATTTTTAGACTTCATTAAAATTAAGGTATTGATGTCGTTATTCGATATCATACTGCGCTTTTATTTTTTTTTACAAATATATTAATAATTCACAAGAAAACTTAGATTGTGTATGGTTCCTTACAGTGTTAGAATACAAATTAAAACATCGAAGGTAAAAACTAGCAATGATTTAACCATTTAATTTCTTGTTAAATCTCATGTTTATGAATATATTATATAATATTATTTCTATGTATAAATCAATAAATTATTGACAATATTATTATTTTCTGAGATATTATCCCTATACATTTTTGTTAACTTTTATATTCTACCATACTTAGCTTTGCACGCTACCACCCTTAATAACTTACACTCCCACTCCACAAACAATACTCACCATTAAAGATCATAATTTAATTACAACACAAAAATTTCGTTTTAAATTATAATTAATATTTTTAATTTCTACACAAATAAAAATTGTATTTTATTTCTAAAAATATAAGAATTCTTTTTTCATATCACCTATACTTTGTACTTTTTAGAACGTAAAAAAAATAATTAAGATTTATAAACAAATAATTAATAACGATAAATGCAATAACTGATTAGCAATTAGCTTATTAATACTGATAATTTGATAATTTAATGTATACATATTAAGTATTTGTATTTTAAGATTATATTATATTTTACTAATATTTATCAGATTCTAATTTTCAAAAATATCTGCAAAACGACATCTTAACGATTATTAATTTTGCATTTGATGTTGCAAATGCTAAAAATTTGGTATGTGCTATATATCAATCTAGAGTTATAACGCTGCTTATTACATAAACGACTATTTCAAAACTACTTCAAACAAAACACCTACACTAGAAATGTATGAGTCACTTTATTGATAAAAATTATAACATGTTGAGTGAAGTAAAAAAATTATCCGATAAATGATGATAATAAAAAAAAAGATACTTAAGAAACCTGATGCACCAGACGATATCAGTTATGTTCAAGTCTTAATTAAACAAAAATAATGAAAAATATGTAAATTTGTTTAAAATTGTACGAGTCACGTGAAAATTTTGAAATGTTGCCAACGGTTACAGCATGAATTTACTGCTGTATGAACGTATGTATACGAGTATAAAAATAAAAACAGTTTGAAAATTCTCGAAGGCAAAAAGAAGTATATTATTTTCACCGGTCGCACGTTATTATTCGGTCAGTCGTCACAGCTGAAGAGATCGAGCGTGTTGCAGCGATTGTTGCAATAACGCAGAAATAATGAGGTTTACGTCGATCGACGGCCGTACCTATATAATAATAACTATATATATATATATGTGTGTGTTTAACGCAGGCGTAGGTATAATACGAAGAATCTGAAGAGGAGGCATACGATTTTTTTCTCGCGTTGTCCTAAAGAATTTCTGTATGTACATCGAGTGTCATCGTATGGCGTGCTGTTGCGTAAAAATAAAATGAAATATTAAAGCGGATGGACGACACCTGCAGTAGGTACCTGTATAACGGCGGTGTATAACATTATATTATATTATTATTAAAACGACGTCGGGAGATTTCGCGGTGAAAGTCGACTTGACCGAAAACCATTTCGAAAAAAAAACGTATCCTCACGCTAATGCACAGGTACCTACGATTATACACACATACACTCACGCACAAACACACGCACACACACACATACACACACACACACACACACACACACACACACACACACACACACGCACACACACACACATTACACATAATATTATAGGCACTCGTAGGCATATTGTATTATAGTAATATATACGGCGCTAACACACGCGCAATGCACTTACCCCAGTCATCCGGTCAGTGGGAATTCGATCAGTTTCCGTAGGAATATTCCCAGCAGCAATCAACGGCACCCATGTCTCGTCGTGTGCGCCGCTGAGCGATATGATTATGATGTGTAATCGCGTATACAACCGACGGCGAAGACTTACGGAAAACGTTAGACTGTTTACGGTGTTTACGCGATATTTACCAACAGTACCTACGAAATGTTGTGCGTGGGCCGGATGAAAATTCAAAAATCTTTTAAAACTCGTAACATCGTAATGACAATAACAACTGATCTTATATAATATTATTATACCGTTGCGGTGCGCGGCGGACCTTACGCGACGAACCCGTGTGTGGATGGCGCGCACGAGTTTCGTACAGTGTCCGTGTATCGGTATTAGTCGCGGACTCGGTGGTGGTAGTAGTAGTACTGTAGTAGTAGTAGTAGTAGTAGTAGTAGTAGTAGTAGTAGTAGTAGTAGTAGCTGTAGTAGTGGTAGTAGTGTGACGGCGGTGTAAAAAAAAAAAACTCGTCGAGAACACGGCGCGGGCGCGTTCGCGATCAATCGATGTTACAGTCACGCGGTGCGTCGTCGTCGTCGTCG